ATATATATCCTGCAGTAAAGCCCTGTTCCTTTTAAAAAATAAAATCAAGGCCCTTACTTGAAAAATCGTCTTCAGGTTAGTTCCTCATGTTCTTCTTCTACACTTTGAATTTACGTCACGTCAGTCCCGCGCTGTCTCGTGCAGAAAATTCGACCAATCAAATCAACGGTTTTGTATGGAAGCCCATTTCCGCCACCCTGATAAAAAAATAAATAAAACTTGTATCTCATAATCATGAATTATCTCACAATTATGACTTAGCAATCTCATAATTATGAGATAATTCATGATTATGACTTAGCTAAGTCATAAGTAGTAATTATGAGATAGCTAAGTCATAATTATGGGATAGTATATCATAATTATGAGATACAAGTTATTTTTATCAGGGTGGCGGAAATGGGCTTCCATAATTTGAGAAACTATTTTTCAAACTAAAAAAAGGACGGTTTAACTATCAAAAAGAAAAAATCAGTAGTTCCTCTTGACGGTTCTTGTTTAGTGAAACGTTTCGTCTGTCCTCCAAGAGACCTTCAGTCTGTTTACAGTTTGAACGGTTTAACCAGTTTCTCCTGCAGTACCAGAGGAGGCCTGCAGGGGGCGCTCAGACAGCAGCTGTCCGCAGAGGAAGAGCGGCTGGTCTTCCACAGTTAACGGGCTGCGGGTTGGGTCCGGAACCGAACCGGTTATTTTATTTTTATTTTCCATTTGGTGAACAGGCGTCGTGTCCATGGCTGCAGGTCGGCTGGTGGAGGTGTACCTGGACCTGCTGTCCCAGCCCTGCCGGGCTGTACTGATCCTGCTCACCTGCAACAAGATCCCGCACCGAGTCCACACCGTGGCTCTGAGGAGAGGTGACCCGTTAACCAGATGACTAACCAGTTAACTAACCAGTTAACAAGATGACCGGTTTAACCTAACCTAACCGCAGTCTGAGCCGTTTCTGCTCAGAGCTTCTGATCCGGACTCTGACCCACTGAGAGAACTTTGACCCTTTACACCAAACTCCACTTCAAATCTGACATTATGAGAGTTTTTGTAAAAACGTGTAAATAAAAATATAAATAAAAACACGAATTTAGATAATTAAAAGCTGATAATAAATTCGGCGCCAGAATAAACTTCATTAATTGTTTTTGATGCTGTTTGGTGATTAAAATCACTTCTGTTCACGTGGATTTAAAATGAGCAGAGGGAAGTTTTTGAGGTAAAAACTTCAGATGAACAGAACTGTTTGTTTTCACAAAGCTGCCGAATTAGAGATTAGAAGCATTCATAATAATAAAAGTTTTAAAAAATATGTAATTAATGCTGGAAGTAAAAAGTATTTCAGTAAGTATAATTGAAGTTTGGTGTGTTTGCAGGAGAGAACAAGACTCCAGAGTTCACCAGGCTGAACCCCATGCAGAAGGTTCCTGTCATGGTGGACAACGGATTCGTGCTCAGAGAGAGGTACAAACACACACACACACACACACACACACACACACACACACACACACACACACACACACA